CATTTGGGCACTATCTCTCCCACTGGCTTCAATTGTTTTGCCAGTTATCACAGCTCCATAGCTGAAAAACTTGGGAAACCATTTGTGTCCATTCTTCCATCCTTATCTGATACTGTGAACATTGGGCTTCCAACTCCCTTGTCTTATGTTCCAGTGTTTGAGAAAGGTAATTTATTTCAGACAGTGGTTGACATGGTGGCAGAGGAATAGAAGAGAAGGAGGGAGAGGAAAGGAGAGGACCAGAGTGGGGCTTGGAAGGCAGACAGGATGCAATGGTGAGCCTGCTATTGCACGCAGAGCTGCCCCGATGGAGATGTTTACACGGTGTGCTTTGGACATGCCGGAGAGGTGCAGCTTTGGCAAAAGGTAGACCCATCAGGCCAATGGCCAATTTCTCCTTTCTCTGCCCCATCCCGTATATGGTATAGTTAACAAACTTCTTCCCCTTCTTCTCCCCTCTTCCCTCCCTCTTCCCTTCCTCTGTCTCTCTTAGCCTCCTTCCCCTTTACTGTGGATGTTCATATCACTGTCTTCTATCACATATTGGAGAGTTACTTGAGAATGAATGCTAATTTCTCCACCTCTCTGTATCTTAGGCAAGATATTTAACTTCTCTGAGTTTTAATTTTCTTACAAGTAATATGGTACAAATAAAAACCAAAGCCCTACTTAAGAGCCAGGCACTGTGGCACACACCTACAGTTTCAGCTACTCAAGAGCCTGAGGGGGAAGATCTCCTGAGTCAAACAAAACACACAGAATGACAAACCTTGTTTTCATGATAGAATTTATGCTAAAAATGATGGTTGAACACACATCTATGGCCTTTCTGAAACTCCTCTATGATTAAAATAAATAAATAATGAAATGAGAAAAGCAGAATCTGTAAGTGACATAGAACAGATGGTAAAAAAACAGCAAAAAGTAGATGTCTACAGGGTTCTGAAGTAGGCGGATTGGTGCTCACTAAGCATAGCATAGCAATCTGAAACTGAAGTCTGGCAGGAGGGCGGTCTTCGTCAGAACTCTAGGCACCTTAGAGGATAAATATACCATGCTGCTCCAAAGGCAGAAGGGCACTGTAAGGCTCAGAGTAGATAATCTCAACAGATAAATCCCAGATACCTCAACCCCACTGTGTTAGTCCACTTTGTGTTGCTATCATAGGAAGTTGCTTTATAGAAAGGAAAGAGTTGAAACTTCAAACCAAGTAATCTCCTTTAGGGCATTGTCTTATGATTGTGATTTTACTTATAAGTTAGAAGAAATTACATGTGAGCACTAGAACCTTTTGATTCTTTAGTACCTTTGAAATCATTTACTTTTGAAGTTTAAATAAATGACCAAGAGAGAGAAGTTATCCAAATCAGTAATTAACAAATGTTCAAACATTTCAGTACACTCAACTGGGTCTCAGGTTTTTAAAACTAACTTGAGCATGTGTTTTTCCTATCTTTAGAACCCATCCAAGTTTCATTGCAGCAGATTAAAAAGAATGTTCCATTTCAACCTCGCACATGTCCAGTGATTGAAAAATATTGAAAGAAACTCTAGGATACCAATGTTTTCACCCAAGGATAAAACTTAAGGGATCACAGAATAATTTGTAGAGCTTAATTTTCACAGTTCAAGCAGCAGTGCGTCTGTAGCACTCAGTCTTTTGTCAAAGACCACAGGAACCACCTGTAATTCCAGCACTCCCAGAGGCTGAGAGAGGAGGATTCCAAGTTTAAGACCTGATTGGGCAACTTAGTGACTTAGTGCAAGACCCTGTCTCAAAATAAAAATGAAAAAGGTTTGGGGAACTTTTGAGAAAAAGGTTGGGGAAATAAAAAATGTTCAGTGTAAAGACCCTAGCTTTAATCCTCAGTACCCCCACCCCCAAACACACACACACACACACACACACACACACGTGCACACACAAATGTACTACTCTGATGAAATCAGACTGGCTGTTAAGGAAGATACAAAGGAAAGTAGGTAAAATGAATAATCAGCGAATGGTACAAAACTCCATAAAGAAGTTGATTAAAAGTCCTTTAAAACTGTCTAAACAATAACAAGCCCTGAAGTTTATCTTCAGAATTTTATATTGTTCAGATTTTGTTCATTAAAGATACTTAACTTTGAGGTTTTTCAAAGTTTAAGAAGCACTCAAATTGGACCGAGAATTTAGCTCAGTGGTTTCACTGCCTGCTATGCAAGCACAGGACCCGAGTTCAATCACCGGTATCAAAAAACAAAAAACAAACAAACAAAAAAGAAATACATTGAAAAAACTAGAGCTTAAAAACCCAGATTCACCCAACTCTGATATTAATTTACCATGTGACATTGAAAAAAATAATTTAGGAAACTTTGTGTTGATACTAGGGCCTGTGTTGGTGTCTTTCAATAGAAATCCATGAGCTTCATTTTACTCATGATTATCTGCATTTAATGAATAGTTAAGCTTCTGACATCATTATGCACCATTTATTGTCAGCTATAGATATTCAGGAATATGGGGACATCTTAATCATGCATCCTAAGTTCCTTGAGAGGTGTTTCTTAATTTCAGTTCTCATAACAAGAGTAAAAGTAACCTATAGGATAAGAATAATAATTATCCTTGAATACTAAAAGTCTTAAATACAGTAGAACACTTCTGTTGAATATAAAATGTAACCACATTACAGAGTAGAATTTGTGGAGTGAAGGTATCTTAGTTTTGGGTAGTATAACAAAGTGCCTGAGTCTAGATGTTTTATGAAGAAAAGAGGTTCATTAAGCTCAGTTTTAAAGCTGAAATTCCAAGATCAGATGATCCTATCTCACTGGCCTCTGATGAGGACCGTCTGGGTACATCAAAATATGTTAAATGGCAGCACATAGCAGGAGCACACGCAAAAGGGGGAGGTCACATGATAAGAGGCAAGGAAGGAGCCAGACTCAATCTCTTGCAGTAGTCCACTGTCATGGGAACTGATCAATTCTTCCAAAAGCTACCCTTCTCCCTTTCAAGGGTGGGGCCCCATAAACTAATTACTCTCTGCCAGTCCCCAGCTTCTAATGACTGAATGCCTCTCCATACCTTTACATTGAACACCAAACTTCCAGCATGAGAAACAATGAAGTGCATACTCCAACAATATCCTAGTCACAGCGGGGACTAAAACACACAAGTGTAGCACATGAAGTCCTATACTACAACTCCAAATAAGATTCCCAATACAATTCAACATACACAGACACAGTTCTTCATCTGTTAATAGAACTAGATGCAAACATAATTTTTAACAGAACAATAATTACCATTTTTGTTTGAAATAGAAGAATGTAATAATGATTTTAAAAAGAGATAGGAGAGAGGAGGGGAAGTGAAAGGGATTTTTAAAAAGAATTAAGATGTACTATGCTCATGTACCAACTTCCCATGAGGAATGGAATCATTTTGTACTAATAAAAAGAAATAAAAAGAGAAAGAGAGAGAGGTGTCCATCTCTCAGAATCACCTGTCCTCCCAAAACTTCCATCCTAGTGAGGGAATTGGGTAATTAACAAAATAAATATACCAAAAGGTAATGTCTTAATGTTCCAAAGGAAAAAAAACAAAAAGGAGATTTACAGGGTGAGCTATCAGATGTGTTAACATATCACAGGGCCGGGGATTTAGCTCAGTGGTTTCACCACCTGCTGCGCAAGCGCAAGGACTCGAGTTCGATCTCTGGTTAAAAAAAAACATATTACATGTGACTATTCAACTGAACTCTTAAAAGTTTATATGCAAATAAGAAAAACATGAAACATATGAAGATACTAAGTAGTTATTGTTCATTTTGGGATGTGTTACAATGTCACCATGATATTTAAAAAGGGACAGTCTTAAAATATATATATTTTTTAATTACAGCATAAATGTGATGCTATCTGGGGTTTTCTTCAAAATTATTTGGGTGAGAGAAATGGAAAATCAGTGTGGGTACTGTATGTATAAATGAAGAACATAGGCTAGGGGTTATAGTCATTGAAGCTGGGTGGTGGACATTAAGAAGTTCTACCTTTATAAGTGTTTGAAATTTCATGAAAATTTTCAGAAATCCCCCCAATATCATTTGTATCTCAAATTTTGTTTTATATGCTTTCATGGCATGCATACACACTGATAATTATCTTTTCAGATATTATAGCTTCTCAGAGAGTTAATTAATCATTATGAAAGTGTCATTTTAACATTTGGTATAATACCAGGCTTTTATCTTCAACCTTATTCTAATTTCACCAATTATACCAATAACACCTTCTGAAGTAACATAATTTTCTACTATAGCTGTCAACCAAGGATTTTGCATGGCATTGGATTATTCTGTTTCATCCACTTAAGTAAGGTTTGGTTAATTAGATTTCTTTATCTTTTATGTCATTGACATTTTGAAGTATACCAGCCATTTATTTTGTAGAATGGCTCTCAGTTTGAGTTCTTCTGACATTTTCTCATCATGCATGGGTTATGGAGTTTGGGAAGGTGATGTCATTTGCCTTTCAGGGCTCACAGGAGGAAACACATAATGTCAGATTGTTAGAGTATTAATATTAGTAATATTAACATTAACACTTGATTAATGTACAGGATTCTCAACCATAGATTTATTATTATTCCGCCTATGTAAATATCTTTCATGGTGATATTTTCAACCTGCATTAACTATTCTCCATCAACTAACTGTCCTTTACCAATCTTTCACACACATATTTTATGATCTTATAATTCTTGGTTAAAATCGTTCTAATTTTGATGGTAGCAAGTAAATAATTTTCTTGCTCCTAATTCCTTCTACATGTATCCTATAGTATTTTGTGATGAAGAGCTTTGGCTTGTTATTTATTTTTCTTTTTGTTGTTGTTGTTATTTATTTTTCTATGTATGTTTATTCATTATCAGTATTGAAAGATGACACATAATCTATGTGTGTGTTAGTTACCTTTCTCTCTCATTGCTGAGACAAAATGCCCAACACCCAACATTGGAAAGGAAGGGGTTTATTTCACTTACAGTTCATAGAGGTTTCAGTTCATAATCGGTTGACTCCAAGGCAGGGATGACAAACAAGCATGGCAAAGCAGAAACGACATGGCACACACAAGGCAGCAAAGGTAACAAGAGAGTTACCAGCATCTTTCTGCACCTTTTATCTTATTCAGACTACCGGGATTAGGGCGATGCTGAAAAAGAAAGTCCCACCTCATCTCCATGAGGCTTTGGGGGGACCTCTAAACACAAACCATAATGCTATGATATCACTATTTGCTGTGTTGCTCTTGTGGAAGCTTCATCTTTCTGGAGTGTTTTCTTTCTCCTAGTGCAGAAAGCTCATATTAAACCTTTTTTGTCTCAGTTCTAAAGTTATGGATTGCAAGGAATCTGGATTCCTTTAAATGGGCAGAGCATCTTCATCCTTTGAGTAGAGCTAGGAGATACAGGTATAGCCTTGAATATAAAATCTCATATTTATATCTTTACTTAGAGCTATGCCTATATATATATAAAATTATGAACTCATACTGATACCTTCATCTGTACTACAATACCACATGGGTCATGAGAATTCTCATTCCCACATTTCTAATTTCTTTTTCAAAATGTAGGAACTTGACTCAGTAATAACTATTCATTTACTCATTTACTCAATCTTATGAGTAAACATTGGATTCCAATGCACTAAACCATAAAACTGTGAATTATAAATCTATGCGATAAACTATAAGACTTTTTGCAGTTATATTTGTTTTGAAAGTAAGAATTTTATAGTCAAGGTAATTTGTTTTATTCAACAGTTAATTTTATTAAATATTTTTTCATGTATGGTTATGGTATTCACTGGAAAAAGATAAAGTCTATTTCTGTTCAAACTTCATTTTAAAGATTTCTTCTATTGTCTATTGAAATATATACTTGTTATGTATAGTACATACCTGAGAAACTCAAAGCTATATAGAAAGGTAGACACAACCATTTTGCCTTCTTCAGCATCTCTTCCATTTTATTCCATCAACACGTTTATAGATAACCTGTCACATGATTCCCTGGTTTATTCTTTCTATGAAAAATAAATGCATATTCTGTAAAGGATGAATTTATTTCCTTTTATTCTGCCCCCCATCAACTTTATCTTACCAATATGGAACACTCTATATTTATTCTTTCATTCTGCCCTTTTTTTAATTAACAATAATAAAACCTACTGCATATCAGTTTATAGTTGTGTATTATTCCAATGTATGGATGCTCCGTGGCTTCTTTCTTCATTTTAATTTTTTATAGAGTAATTAGCCCTTTATATGTGGTGTATGTTGAAAGTTTTTTCTCCCAGTATTTCATCCATATATGACATTCGTTCTATTTTTGGGTTTTGGGGGGGTTTTTTCCATATAAAAGTATTTTGTTTTTTCTTTTATGTTGTGAAGTTAACTAACTCTTCTTTGGGAAATGCTGTTTCTGCCTAAGTGGAAGGAGGCAGATCAGGCTTGTTGAGCTTTAAAGACAGCTTATAGGACAGAAAAGATGTAGGTGTAAAATGGAAGAATTTGCCAAATATCCTATGTTTTTTTATATCAAGTGACAGAAGCAAAAATGAGAAATAGACGATGGAGCATCTGGACAGGGAGGATGAAATTGCCAGAGCACTACGTCTGGAGCAAGGGAGTGAGGAGGAGGCCTGGCTGGCTTGGGAAAGTTTATATCTGATTGAGGCATCCAAATCATGGGTGCAAGTCTGCAAGCTCATTAGTGCTGCATAAGGGTTTCAAAGCAAAAGCAGATAAGAGTGAAGAGCAAATAGCAGGACACAGGCAGGTGCGGAAGAGGGGAGGACACCACGGTTGCCTGTGCTAGGATGAGAGGATTCAAAGAAGCAAGGACTCTCCAACAGTCCCATGCTAAAGCTGCATTTGGCATCATGCCTTCTTCAGCTTCTTTTCCCCTCTCAGTCACTTAGTCACCATACCCAGCAGCTTCCCACAGAATCACGCAATGCTCAGCGTGAGCCCCAGCAGGAACAAGAAGATATCAAGCAAATATTGCTCATGCCATGGCTGCTGGAAGGCATAGGGCTTGAGGTATACAGCACCCCCTGTCTGTAGGATGTTGTTGTTCCAGCCCACCAGTCACTGAGAAGGGCTCAGGGGGTGGGAGTGCTGGATGGTGCTGGCAGTCATTGCAGCAGACTTGTTCCTGTAGGCAGAGACAGAAAAGGGGCATTACAGATGCAGTATCATAAGACTGAGAGAACTTGTGTCACACAGACACACACATACACACACTTTACAACTCTATGCCCATAGGTACTTCTCTAGGATAACTATTTGTTCCTAGTCTGAGACCTGTGGATTTGCTCAACACACTGCTATATCTCATGCTTGATCTAATTCTCTTCTGTCACCATCTGGAAATTTTTTACCTTTGTAATAAGAATCCTCACATTTTCCTTTTTCACCAGTTACAAATTATGTAACTTGCCCTAGTGACGCTCTATATTTGAGGTCCATCCTATCTCAGAATGACCCCTTCAATGAGGCCTTCGGATCAGATCTATCTGGGGTTTAATTTTCTGAAAAATCTATGGAAAAATACAAATTCACTCTTCAAAAAATAAACATCCATAATATGTGAAATTAAAAATATATACAAGTGTCCCAGTGTATAACAACTTACCTATCTCTAAAACTTCAAGCTATGGGGTTTTCATTTATCCAACAATAATGGCTTTGAGTATCTCTTATGGGCATGGTAAGATGTGAAACTTTGAGATCTGCTTCATACTTGTGCCCTTGAAACTAATAAATAATTTACTTCTTCTCAGGAATAAGAAAAAAAAAACTTTAATCTTCATATGAGACGTTTGTGCTGGAATAGTTATTTATTTACCTTGGAGGTCACTGAGCCTCTTTTATTGCCTTACTTAATTCATTAACCATTTATATGATGGCAGACCTGTGGCAAGCCTGAGAACATTGTAAAAACAAAATTCACACACTGCAGTCTTCACAGAATTTGTTTTCTACTCTGTAGTGTGGGAGGATAACAAATAAATGAAAACTGAATAAGTAATTGTAATCCCTAAGAAGCATTAGAAAGGAAATAATATAACTGAGCAGCAGAAGAGGAGGCTAGTAAAACTGTCAGAGAAGAAGCCTCTCAGAAGGTGACGTTAGAGATGAGATTTGAATGCCATAAAGAAGCCATCCCTAAAGAGTAGGGAAGGAGTGCTAACAACTAGCACAGATAAGAAGGCCAAGGAAGAGAAGAGTGGGGAGTATTGTAGAACAGAAAGGAAGCTGCTTGTCTCAGTTGGAATTCTAGTGTAAGAACCCAAAAAATAAGTGTTCTCAGAAACCCTATGAATGTAGTTTGGGCTCCTCAAAGCCCATAAGGTAGAAACTTATTCTTCGCACTTTGCCTAAATTGCGCTAATCTTGTTCTCAGATGATACAGGTCAGCATCACACGTACACACACATCCTGAAAAACTAATCTTTATTGAAAAACAGAGCCACAGAGTGCTCTTAGTGTTAGGCCAGCAGGCAGCCTAAATGACCAGAGCCTCAGAGAGCTGCTTACCTCTTGTCTTCTATGACTTGTTTCATCTTAAGATCCAATGTCTCTGCCTTGAGCTTCTTTAATGGAAGAGACACTCCAAAATTTTTGGCTTCTACCTGGACCATGTTTCCAGGAAGATCTCCAGAGAGAGGAATCCCCACCATGGGCACACCATGCTGGATGGTCTCCATTATGCTATTCTCCCCACCACATGTGACAAAGAGATGAATGCCAGGGTGAGCTATTGCAAAAAAGAAAGAGGGCAGAACATTTCAGAGTAAAATTTTGGAACACCAAGCAGACCAGAACAGCATAAGGAAATACAGAGGGGATCTAAAGCTCTGTTGGAACCATGTTGTAAATAATGACTTTGCTTGAAGCACAAATCCAAAGATGCATGTTACAAGATCCAGGACTCCAGACCTTGCCATTTTGGCTTCCATCTAGAGGTCACCCAAAAGCCTCATGCGCTCCTAAATGGGGCTTCTCAGAGCTGGCTGAATCTTAGGCGTGTGATACTGGAATTAAGGGTGTGTGGTTCTAAATTAGTCCACTGACTGGAATTAGCATAGTTCTGGCTGTGGCTGCATGGATTTTCTGAAGACAGAAGACCCTCATCTTTGGTGTGGGTGGCACCACCCAAAAGGCTTGTAGCCTGAATGGGATAAAAGGGAAAAGTAGGCTCCCTGCTGCTCCTCACTTCCTGCCGCCTTCTGGTTCATGCCTCCTGCCTGCTTTGCCATAAACTTGTCTTTCTTCTGTGATACTCCTCTGCATTGGAGCCAGCCAACTATGGACTGAAACCTCTATAAACTGTGCGCTGAAATAAATCTTTCCTACTTTAACCTTGAGTGTCTGGTATTTTTTCTCAGCACAGAAAGAAAGAAAGAAAAAGAGCGAGAGAGAGAGAGAGGGAGGGAGGGAGGGAGAGGAAGAAAGGAAGGAAAGAAAGAAAGAAAGAAAGAAAGAAAGAAAGAAAGAAAGAAAGAAAGAAAGAAAGAAACTTGTCTTTGTATACAAACTTTTAAATTCAACCAGAATCTAGCTAATATTCAGAACCCATGTGATTCTGTAGAGAAAAATGCTAAATGAGACATGTATCTCTACCCCATCCATCCATTCATCCTTATTTCTGTCCTCCTTGTGTCTCTCGTTGCTTCTCTCATCTCTGCTCTCTCTCCACATATCGGTCTCACTCCATCCTGAACTCTCTATCCACGGTCAACTAATTTCCCTTTTCCTTTAATTCCTGTAACATTCATTGAGGTCAAAGCTCATATGTCAGTCAAAATAACTTGCCAATTGTATTGTATCCTCAATTATATTAAAATCCTGTTATAAACATACCAGATCCTACATCTCAGTATCTCCCATTCCTGTCTTTCCATTACAGCATTATTTAGAGCTAACTAAAATTATTGCTCATAATGAAGAGCAACATCTTGGCTTGTGTCATTTAACAGCAATGTGCATCAGAATTTTCTTCTCTCTTCTTTGAAATGTAAATCATGTGCTTCCCTAAATGCAAAGAAATGCAAGGAAAACCAAGAATCTATTTCTAAATTCCCAAACTTACTTTGAGCCATAATCTTTGTTCTGAGCCTCTGCTCTAGTCAGTGGCTGTGACAAGGAGATGGCTGTAAGGAGCACTGGGCACACAGTAAATCTGTTGAAGGGTGAGGGAGTTCTTTGTCACTAGATGACCCAGTGGGCCAAATAACAACTGGTAAGTTTGCTAAGCTTGGCACCCAGGTATTTAAGTACATCCTCAAGAAATCACTGACATCAACATTGTAAAAGTATGAGTTGCTCAGATCCTTAGTATATTTATGAAATGCCAACATGTATGTGTGGCTGTGTATTTGTATAAAGACACGTGACTGAACTGGTGCTTATGAAACAACTAAGAATTGCACCATCCTCCACCTCCACCTATAGTGTATATTCTCAGAGTCAACGGGTTGTCTTGGATTTTATTTGGATGATGTTTTCCATGACCAAATGCAGTAGGATGAAGAGAACTTGATAAGAGTGTCATTCTTGGTTATAGACATAGGCCTGGCATAGAAAAGAATGACAGAAACATGTTGTTTTGGTGCCTAACCTCATAGAATAGCTTGATTCCCCAAGAACTCCAAATGGCTGCTTCTTTCCTCCCCTCTGAAGCCTTACCTTTACCTATCAGCAGCTCCTTCTTATGTTGGCACCTATGCCCAGCTAGGGCTGTGAGTCCTGGTGAGCCCCAAAGACATGTCAATGGAAGGAAGGGAGCAGACCCAGGCAGCCCTTACCCAGGAGGTCATTCTGGGGAAGCCAATCCACACTTTTCACATTTGCAGCCAATTTGACATCTCTGGGCCAAAGAGAATGCTTACACTTCCATAACACCCCTTGGGAGAGTTGGGCAAAAGCACTGTTCATCTCCTTGAGGTCTTTCTGCTTCAGGTACTCACTCATAATAGAGCCTAGAGCCACTAGGACAAAACCAGAGTTGCCAAACTTGGTGATGAAGGTTTCCAAGTCCTGGAGAGATTAAAATGTAAAGGAGGAAAGGAGGTAACAAAGTCGTTTGGAAGAAGATGAGAGTCAGACTATTTACTAACACACCCTCCCCTTAGAGCCTTGTGCTGTCCTGAAACTCTTTTCATAGTCCCAGTATGGCCTAGCATCCTCTGAACTATATTTATGTCCTCTGTGTTGATGGGAACCTCTTTCTTCTTTGAAGCTTTGACATCAGTACCAGGGTCAGGATTCATGCTAGGCTCAGGGAACCAGGTTCATCTGAGAGTTTTCCATGGCCAGAAAGAAGCTGGTAGTATCTAAAAGAGTGCTGGTGGTAGATCAAAATCTAGTACAGGGAGTGGGACTTCTAGAGGCTATAATAGAGAAGCTGGCAGAACATCTGGGTTGTAAGAAAAAATGGAGCAGTGCCATAAAGAATATCTTGCTCCAATATTTCATGATATTTTCAGCCACTGATCTTTGTACTTCATCCTCTATCTCAGTGGTTCACCTGCATGATTGCAAATTTTAACCACATGGAAAGTTTGAATAGTTTGTTTGATTTTTCACTTCCAAATATTTCTTTGGACCCTGATTCTGTGAACTGATTCATCATTCCATTCATCATCCAAACCAGCCTTTTCATCTTTAAACTACAAAAACAAGATTAGATTATTATGTGGCAATTAGAAAACACAGAGAAGAAAAAAATTAATATATATTATCCAACAGCCACTACAGCTCTTATTCCTATTGCTATCTTCATAAAAACTTCCTCCACTTGCTGTATGGTCACACCCTATCACATAAGGCCTCTGGTAAAAAAGCCACACCTGGCTTCATATGTGCAATTGAATTATTCACTACCTCACTGTAACTAGAATTTCCCAAGGAACTCAGCCCATTGGCCATCTCACTTGCAGATCTATTGGTCTCCAATCTCCCCACTTTGGGATTCTTCCCTCCAAGATCCTTTTCTAAACACTCCTGCTGCCAACATAGATCCCATCTTGCCCAAGATCATTTCTCAACTCCTGTGGCTCACTCAGTATGTAGTTCCTAAAGGAAAGATAGATCCTTTGGTGCATGGAAGACATAGAAAAAACTCAGGCCTTCCCAGTCTGTAAATGAAAGGCACAGGAGAAATCATATAAGCATGCTGCCCCTCCTTTATAAAAGTGGAGATGATAATACCTTCCTACAGGGGTCGTAGAATGTCATATAACTCCTCCAAAATGGAGAAGTGCTAATAGGCAACAGAGAGCTAACTAATTATAGCTCTCTTTGTTTTTAAAACTTCAAGGGCAGGCCGGGGATTTAGCTCAGTGATTCCACCGGCTGCCTCGCAAGCGCAAGGTCCAGAGTTCCATCCCCGGTACCAAAAAAAACTTCAAGGGCAGTGGTTCTGAGACTGGGCTGTGCATTCAAACTAACTAGGCAGCTTTTATAGCTTACAGTGTCTGAGCCAACCACAGATGGATCAAATCAGAAGGTTTAGATGAAAAAAACAGGTCTCTATAGGGTGGGGGATCTGGGAATCTGAGCTGCAGTCCTTGTTATTAGTCCTACACAGTCCTGCCCTAGTTACGTCCTGTCCTGTCTGTTTCATTGTAAGTAACTCATCTCATTAGCAATTATTGCTTGTAAAGGAAACTCTGCATATTTATTGAATACATATCACATAAAATATGAAGAGCTAAGTTTGGCGCTACATGCTGATAGTTCCAGCTACCAAGGAGACTAAGGAAGGAGGGTAACTTGAACCCAAGAATTTGAGAAAAGCCTAGGAAATAATAGTGAGACTTGGTTTCATAAAAATAAGATGAAAACCAATCAGCCAAGTGATAACAAAAATATGAAATTTAAAAATGCAAATATAAATGTAAACTTTAATAAAAAGGCTTATCCCACCAGTGCTAGGACTAGAGTGAAGCAAGAGAAGAGCCCAGAGTGTACCATGTAAGGGAGCCCTCAATCTTAGAGACAAGCAAGGTCTAACACTACTTGCTCCACACTGAAAACAAGAACTTCCTCAAAAGTACACCCTAGGTGCTTCACTTGCTTCACTTTATTCTCCAGATGCCTCTGGCAGACGGCAGTCACCAAGCATGCCCTGATGGCCTCTGTAAGAAACACAAACAGAGTGCTAGGTTGTACTTACTTCTGGTATTGGGTTAATAGGTTTGTCCAATAAGCCTCCAATAAAAACAGTGTTGGGAAGCAGGAGCTGAGCAAATTCAAAGGCAAAGTCAGAATTGACAAACCATAGCTCTGCTTTCAGTAGAAGATGAGACAAAATTGGCCTAGAGCCTTCTGCAAAATGCTCCTTGATAGTGTGGTTAAACATTGACTGTATTTTCCTTTGCCTCATGGAGAAATCAAAGAACATCAGAAAGTTCTTCACTCAACTCCAGAAGTTCATGTGATCAGTCAGCAAAGAATGGAACACTGGAACATAAGAAAGGGACTTGGAAGCCCAATGTCCAAAGTACCAAATGAGGATGGAAGAACGGACACAAATGGTTTCCCAAGCTTCTCAGCAATTAGGAAAGAACAGTAGTCCAATGCTTCAACTACCACCACGTCAAAGTCCTCATTCTTTAAGGAATCCATGATATTTGTTCTGCTTAGCAAATAACTGCATTGAAACCCTTGTTGTTTAACTATTTTTAAGTAGTTTTCAAAACTTCCTCTGCAAGAAGAAAATAAATGATAAATGTATTGGAGGTGTTAAATACACAATACATTAAATAGTCTTGAGATACAAAGAAAATATCCCAAGTAAGTAGCATGACTGGCAGCACCCCACATATTCAACCTGTTTTCCATTAATAATACCCTCACCTCAGGTCTCTCTGGTTCACGTGTTTCTCCTCCTTAGAACGTTCTCTTTTTCTCTTCCCTTTCCTCTCTTAACCCAAATCCCATCCACATCAAAACCAGTTCAAGGTTCTTCAGCCCTGGAACTCATCACTGACTGTAGCAAGTATCAGAGTTGTATGTCTCAACAATCAATTCTATGATGTGCTGCTTGACTCTCAACTACATATTGACTTTTTATGAATGTTTTTCTTATTTACCTAGCTACACCATGTAAGTAAACTGATGACAGTATCCACTGAAATTAGTGTATTTTTAATCACAGTATTCTTGCATATGAAAGACCAGCAAGAGACTCTTATAATTTTCAATACATGTTTGGTTTTGCAGTATGTAATGATTACATTTATTGTGGGGAGTTGGTACATGTAAATAATTTCTTTTTTTCATCCCCTAATCCCCTCCCTCCATGCTCTCTCCAATTCTTGGTCCCCTTCCCATTTGCAAAATCTCTATTTCTTTCCTTCAATTGTCTTTTTTCCATATCCTTTCACAAATATATATATATATGAAAGATACAGATATGTAGAGATATATATATAGATATAGAGAGAGATTTATATAACAGAAACCATATGATATTTAAGTTAGACTCTTTGATCACATTAGAACCTTCAAAATCCTCAGCTAAAAATAAGAATTCCATTTTTCTATGTCTAGCAGTTAAGCAATAGAGAAAAACAAAATAATTCTGATTTTGAAACATAACATTAGCTTTTCCACTTCAATGCAGACTAGGGTATTCAGACCGGATAATGACAAAGCTGGTACAACATCTCATTAAGACAACCCATGTGATTATTCTAGGGGCCATTCTTCTTAAAATGCTTTTTTTTTCTATTGATGGCACAGAATATGACCTTTTTTCATAGGATGGGCAGATAGATGAGGATTTCTAGGCCAGAAGGAACAGACATGGGTCTCTAGATATCAGGGTCCTACAGGCAGCATGGAGGATGGAGAGAACCAATGCCCTAGCACACTAGTCCCTTTCATACCACTGCACCATTGCCCTTGAGGCTGACAACACACTAGTGACATGAGGATCTCTGTCTAATCTTTAGGATCAGGTTCCAATCAAAGGATGGAAATGGTTGGCTGAAATAATTCTTTGTTATGTATTTTTAAAGATTTCACATAAGAAAGGAAAAGTTATTCAAATATTTTGAATAACTTCAGCAATACAGTGAAAATTCCTAAAATACAATTCATTAATCATATTTAAAATTAAATTAATGAATAAAAAATTCAAGAATGCACCGTTACCTATACTTGTCCCTAAAAATGTTAATTGGTAGGAGAAGTAACAAGGCATATACTTAAAATATATAACTAATAATGCAAGGTAATATGGGCTAAGTCTCCAATGAGTGGATTAGATACAATCAATAGAGGAAGGAAAGTGGTCTTCCAACCTGGGGGAGGAAGAAAACTTTATGGTAAAATACAGATATGAACCACCATGAATACTGAGTAGAATTTTCAAAGCAAGAACGGTTGAGGCCGCTGTAATTCACCAAGATAGGCATGGATTTGTCTTTCCACTTTTATGTATAAAATTAAAGAAATATATGTTCCTTTCCATTCCAGATGAAGCAAAAAGAGTCATTTTATTCCAAGTTGATTGCTTTTTAAAAAGACTTTAAATGACCGGACATTCAAATTCTGCAAAATCAAAGTTCTTAAGTCTTCCTTCCAAGTAAGAGTATATGAAAGAAGGCCAGGGATTTAGCTCAGTGGTTCCACTGCCTGCCTCACAAGTGAAGGCACAAGGTCCCAAGTTCAATCCCTGGTACCAAAAAAAAAAAAAGAATGTATGAAAGAAGAAAAAGAAAATAAGTGGGGTCAGGTGTCCTTGACTTCAATATCAATAATGAAACATTGAGGGCTATATTCCTATATTCCTGTTTTTGTTTTGGAGAGATTATAGAGAAAGATCATAGGTAAAGTGTTTCAAGGAAGTCCCCAAAGGAACAACCACCGACTTTCTACAGAAACATATTCATGCATAGAGTGTAATAATGACAGTATAAACTAAGGAAAAATTTTCATTGATTGCTCTGCATGGTTTGGTGGCAGTACTAATCTATTCCACCTACCTATTACCTGTCTCTCCATTTACATCTCCATTTGTCCATTTACCTACTCATCCATCCATCATCCATCCATCCATCACTTCCACTTATCCTTACTCCAAGTATTCATGCACCACACATTCACTTGTATGACTAAAATAGTGACTGTAAAATTTAAAATAACACAAGCAAATTACCTGCCCTCCAAAGCTTCTTCTACAAAGAAATTAAAACATTGGTTAATTTCTGTTCAAAAATCTTCAGGTGGAAGCCAACTGGTAACATGATATGATTTTTCCTCCTCTTTAAAACCTAAGGAAACATCAATGACTCAGAAAACATTAAATATGCCACACAACATGGTAACATTAACATAAAATACCAAAACTGTAATATTCCAATAAATTTACATTTTAGTGTTTGTCTTTGCAATATTTTATTTTGCTTTGTTATTTTATCATTCATTCAATTTTATAAACTGATAACATGTATTGGGACCCTTACGGTAATTTGGGATTTTTTTTCAATTTAAAATTATGGCAACTTCCATTTATAGCTTTTATTCAAAGATATAGCTGTTTGTCCATTCTACAGGTAAAATGATCTGTCAAGACTGCACACATAGGAAGTGGTAGAGTCGCCATTTAAATTCAGGTCTCTTTTATTCCAGAGCTTCAAATGACTGTTTCAGGAAAAATCATTTTCTTATTTAAAGTGATGTATGCAAATCATTTTTCATTCAGTCAAAATGTACTAAAGGCTTAATTAAAACAATAGTGCTTTTCTGGCTCTCTAAGCTGGACCGGCTAGGTGAGAGGAGCAGCTTGAAGCTACAAGGCCCTCCCGGGCGCCCCACCCCCACCCCAAGCCACAGTGAGGTCTGCTTAGCCACGTGGGGAGCCTTTCAAGTCCCAATACCCACCCCCCCA